GAACTCCCTAAATCAGAAAGGTGGGAAGATAAACAGGAACAGAAGAGAAGGAAATTAGGTTATGAAAGTCAGAAAGAAGAGTAGTAGATGGTAGACATTTAGAGACCTTTGGGAAGCACTCTGATATTGGCATGATGATCTCATAAGAGAAAACTGTTAAAAATTGTAAAAAATTTGACCAGAAGAAAGAACCTGATCAGAAAGAGTCAGCCCAAACAGGTTTATTTTGTAAAGTATTTCAGGCCTCCTTTTCCCTCCTGTTTTTGAAAGCCTGGCAAGGCTCGAACAGGGATCTCTAAGCACTTGTATGTCACCCTGAATATTGAGAGACAAAAAAAAAAGCAGAGAGAGAAGGTGCCTGAATAGAGTTCAGAAGGTTCCCACCTCTCTGTACTGAGGTTCAATCTTCACATCCAGTTCAGGGCAGTGATTTTCAGTAAGCTTTTAGCCGCTAGCAGGAATAAGGCCATTTCACAATAACCAAAGCTTAGGGTAGAAATTATAACAGCTGATGAGGAACTAGGTATAAATAAAATACTTCTGGTGAATTCCATAAAAGGAGTTTACCTCTGCCTATTCTTTATTAAGTTACAGTCCAGTGATATTTAGCCAAGTTTTAAACTCTGAAACCACTGACTGTAGATCCTCAGATGGGAGAAACGAAGTGTTGATCTACCCCACAACATGATCCAGCCATGAATTTACAGATGAACATAAAACCATGGACTTTGCTTACATTTCTGGTTCAAGAAAATAAGCATTTCTCTCACTATATGTAATGCACTATTTTTGCTTAGAAAAGGGCGTTCTAAAATTAAAGACACGAAAGATACAGTCTCTCTCTCTCATCCCCTACTTTTTCCCCAACAGCTCTGTGCAGCAGCAATGGTGACAGACAGCAGCAAGAGAAGAGGTTCAGGAGATGCCACAACTAAGACAACTTGGCAGAAAATACCCTACACCAGAAGCAACACATGTGCCATAATCAAGGATTACAAGGAAACCAACACACTCATGATATGAAAACTCAGAAAAAAATTTCACCTACTCTTTCAGCAATTATTTTTCTTTCAAATAGGCTCTTGGCATAACTTCCAAGCACAGTCTTTGACCAGTATTGAGAAAAGTACGTTCATAAACCAAAAAAAAAGAATGAAGTACTGATGAAACTCTCATACAACTGCCAGCCTCTCGTGGTGCCTCTATTACTTGCAGAATGCAAGTGACTGATGGCATGAAGGTAAAAACTCAACGAGCTCATTTTTTTTTCTTGCATCTAATCCATCACATTTGCAAGTTTCACTTACCTGTCAAGTTCTTCAGTCCAAGTTCCCTGAGTCCAAAGTTCCCATCCTTTCTGTAGTTAAGGAATATTGCCAAAGCATACCGCTCTTCGTAGAGTTTGGTCCCACGAACAATGCGCAGGTTCTCCAATGGCAGGTATTCAAACTGGTTCAAAGCCACCAAAACATAGCCTGTCACTTCTCGGATAGACTGAAAGGCAAAAATGAAACAAACGCATTAGACGTGGTCCATTTTTCACTGTCCTGAATTTCCCATATAGTGGATGCTTTAGTGTGAGATGCTGCTACCCAAGGGAAAAAAAAAACCACCAAAACCAAGTTTTGGAAAAAAAATTCATTTTCAGTTTATGATTTCAAGCACATTTCTCTTTCAATTTTAGTGAGTTTGTTAGAAATAATTGTTGGAAAGGTAGAAAATAGAGAGGTACTCCTTTTTCTCAGCCTAGTAAAACTTGAGTAGAAATTCACTGTAAGGTATTAAAGATTCACAAAAGGATGACTTTGCACAACTCAAAGCAGAGAGTAGGTCAAAGGCCTCTGCAGTACATGAGCAAAATCCACTGGGGAAATGCCATAGTTCAGATGAGATTGTCTGTTTGCAAGTAACTCTGTGCTGTACAGCATATTTCAGGGTGGCACTGAAGGGACACATCATGGAAGACACCTCTGGAAGAGCTCACCATCATCGAACAGGAACAATGGAAGACAGGGAGCAGGTTCGGAAGGGTAAAGTCTAAGCACAGATGTATTAACACACATTTTTGTACTTTTAAGTGGAATTGATCACTGAGTATTTGCAAAGATTAATCTTGAAGTTTCATTTGGAAGTGCTGGAACTATATACCAGTCTTTGATCAAAACTGCTATCCAAATCTTTTTAGCAAAATCATTGCTGCATCTTTGGGTAGGTTGAGACCTTTGTTGCCTTTAGAGGAACTGCTCAATAACCCTCCTGCTCAATAACCCTCCTGCCCAGGAATTGTTTGCCTGGGTTAAAAAGAGAAAAAAGACCCCAAAACCCAATAACTAGAAATACTTTTTGAAAGCCCAACAGCTTAACAGAACTAAGATGTTATTACCAAAAAAAAAAAAAAAAATCAAAAAAAACCCACACAAAAGCACTCCAAATGAGAAAAGTATGCTCCTGGAGAAAATAAAGTTTTCACTCCAAGGAATTGAAAGAAATGGCCTAGAAATATGCAAATGCCTTTGAAAAGTGCCATTTCAACACTCACATAGACCCCACCATCCTTAGCAGGACTTGACACATGCTGGGGGGAATGCTCCTGCTCAGAGCTGCTCCCAAAAACAGGACCTCCACGTTGATATGTTTTTCAAAGCTCACCTAATCCCACGCCCGCAACAGCCTGCAACCGCTGTACACGTAGATATTTATGTGTGTACGCATATTTAATGGACAGAAATTGATATCACTACTTGTGTGCTTAAGTGGCGGTATGCACTTTTTCCTTCCCTTTGGCAAAGTCAATACCTTCAACAAAACACTGAAAGAAAAATTCTGCACATGCACAGACTATAACAAACATATTGACTCCAGTCAATATCGTAATAAAAACAACCCAACAAGCAACAGCAGGCATCGAATTAAATGTGTTGTGTATGTATCATTAATAAAGGATTTTGCTTTGCCGGTTCAGGGCTTTGCCACGATTTCAGATTTACGTGTGCCTTTTAATTAGGCTTATAAAAGGTCTGTAATATGATTAACACATGTGATAGTGTACATAAGGAATGATTTCTATGCCACAAAATCGAGTGCTAGTTGTCCTTGCGAAGTCAAACACCTGTACTCAGCTGAAGTTGCTGAAATAGCTCTGGAGCTATTCCAGACTTGCCATCTAAACAGAGCCCAGTGTCATTACAGGACTCTGATGAGAACCCAGTGAGCAGAGCTAGGTTGAGAAGTATGGTTCAGTAGTTCAGTATTAAATGTAGACCTGCATTATACCCTGGGACACTGATTCCATTACAATCAGAAGCTCTCCAGCACTTTCATGATAGCTCTTCGTCTTCTGACATTTCAGCTTAGCCAGTTTGGTCAGGAATTTGTTTTTCATCATATGCAAAAATTTCCTTAAGCTAACTTTTTTTAGCCTCTCTTCAGAATTCAGGAAACATTTAAATTATACTCGTGGCTTCAATTTCTGCTCTGATATTCCAGGAATACTATGATTGCTCTAATTAATTTAAATAGATGTTTAACTTGGAATGGAGTGGAAAAAATTTAAAAGCAGTTCCAAAACTGCATCTGAACAAGTCCTCCCTGCCAATTGTTGTCACTTGTAACCACGTTTTCTATTTTTAGGATATGTCTTATTTACTGCCAAACAGCAAGTCCACCTGAAAGGGCCCTAATTCAGCACAGTACAGAAATGACACATACACACAGAGCAGCAAATCTTCATTCCAAACTTAAAAGAAGAAAAAAAAGAAAAAGAAAAGAAGACGAAAAACAGAGAAAATTATAAAGTTTTGCTGTTGACAATTGTGAACTGCCTAAGAAGCCCTGCACTTTGTTTGGTTTATCCAGCTGAAATAACAAATTATGGCAAGTATTTTGACAAACCAGAGGATCCCTTCCACTCCCATGACTTCCATCATTTTGCAACACCTATTTACTTGCTGGATAAACTACCATGTTCATCCTTGCAAAACAAAATTATGAAAATAAGCCAGGGGGTTCTAATTTACTGGAACATAAAAACCTGACCCAATCTAGCAGTCTGATATATTACGTTAGGGTTTAATTTTGGTTTTAAATTCAAATACGAATGAAAAATGCAGATCGATAACCTGTTTTGCAGGTTGGTGTGTTTTCTGACTGGTCCAGCTTAAAAAAAAGCGTACCGGGAGCACAGCAGGCACCTCAGGTTTCGACCACTCCTGGCTAACACAGTCATTTTGCCAGTCACTGCAAGTTTTGATATGATTCTTACTGAAAATGGACACCTGCCCACTTGGAGCTCACTCCAAGCCCTGCAAAGATGCCTATTAGCTTCCGTGCTGACTCACAAGTCCTCACGCCAGAGGGATCAGTCAGCCTGATCTCCTCCTCTGCAACTTGTGCCAAGGGTAGGCATGATGTGAACCTCTCATCCTTTTGTATTCAAGGCTGAAGGCTTTCCTCTTCAGGTATCCTGAATTCAGGTATCCTAATGCTCTATTTGAGCTGTTTTGGCTTCAGCATTAATCTGAGCTCTAAGGAGGTGAAGTGACTCACAGCAGTGGTAGCTTGAGTGTCACCTCCCAGTCTGATTCTCCTGCTAGGGCTGGAGGCTCTCACAAAAACACATTTCACATGAGTCTGTCCCTCAGAAAAGAAAAAAAGGAGACAAGGATGCAAATATCTGCATTTTATTCCCATCACCTACAACTGGAACAGAAAGAGGTAGATTAATCACCAACAGACTTAAAGCTAAAATTTTTAATTTTAACATCCAAAGCACCGTGATTTTGTGAGATTCCCCCCTAGCCCCATTACAGCATTATTTTGACTGGGAATTCCTGGACAATGTGATCTCTCCTCTCCTTGTCATCTCTCCAGCTCCTGAGATGTGACCTGTTACATGAAGAAGCCACCGAGTGAGGCAGCAACTGGCCCAGACTCCCATAGCACTGCTGCTGCTTTGGTAGATGTATTTGGGCTCCCCGAAGCTGGGTATGACAGCGGGAATGAACACACAGATTTGAAGGAGGAAAAGGCAGCACCTCACAGGCTCCCTGTGCCAAAAGGAAAAGGGACACTGCCCATGGAGCCCTCCAAGCAGACACCTGACAGTTTGAAAGCAGGTGAGGAGACACCTCTGAATATTCTAGAGCCACAGGTGACTGCTCCTCCAATTGAGCCTGAGCATTAGCCCCTGGATAAGAAAGGACAAGCTTCCAGCAGGAAACAAAAGGAGTGTAGGGGGGGAAAAAGTATTAATCTAAAGCCTCACGAGTTGCTTTAAAACCCCACCAAACTAAAGGGTTCAAGTCTGATATATTTACCAGAGAAAAGCTCTTTGTCTCTCTTTTTGGACAGGAGACGAGTACTTGTGCTCCACGGTTTGCTATCCCTGGGTCCAGCACTGTTCTGCACCCTAGAAAGTGAAGCCTTGGCATGGTAGCCCATAAAACAGTCTCCTAACAGCCTCTACTAGCCCAAACATAGCCTTTTTTTTTTCCTTAAACCTAAAAACAATTACCCTGAGATGAGAACAGACCCAGTTGAGGTGCTGCCCCAAGATGGCGGCCGCTGCTCCCCTCAGCTGTGCCGGGCAGTCCTATGGAGAGTGCAGGAGAAACTGGGCCCCAAAATGACACCAAAACCTAAACTTTTTTTTCAGAGGTTCTTCTTCAGGTGATGAACTGTAAGAATGAACTCTAGACAGCCCATTCCCTCAATTACAACTAATATTAGCTGAGCATGAAGCACTTTAAGTTCCCAACAGCAAAGCCAGAATTATCCTGTCAGCTGGGAGTAAATGGCAAGATTGTTCCATCTTAAATCATCCCTCAGTTCGAATCAAGCGAATCTGAGTGAAGTGGAGCAAAATAACAGTGAAAACTTCATCATTCTGCCCAGAACAACAGATCAATGAATGATTAGGGAAGCCAATGTTTCTCATAAACACTACACAACATCCATCGGGAACGCTGGGTTGTGGCGGAGGCACCAAGGAGAGCTATATTGTGGGTTTTATTTTAGCTGCACAAACGTTATTTATCCAGTTGCTGAACCTGATCTGGTAAAGCCCTTCTGCCTCAGCTGACCGGACACATGTCCCTGGCATGGCATCAGGGCAATGGAAACCTGCCACAGTGGTCAGTTCACACTTGTGGGACCCCAGACAATTAATTATCTTTTAGGGTAATTTTCCCCTTTTCCATAAAAGCTATGAACATTTTGATCTACTTCAAACTCACTTGAAAGCGCCAATAAACACAAGTGCAGGAGATGATGATCACCTGAAGAACAAGTGTGTTTAATTCACAAACATTAAAAAAACAGTACATATATTCAACAAATTCACATGAGAGACAAAGACAAAAGCCTTTGCTTTTTCATCACTATTTTACAGAGAGACAGAGGTGCTTTGGTGCCCAGGGGAAGTCGGGGTGCCATGTCAGGGTTACAAAGAAAGGCAGCTACTGGGAAAAGCTGGGGGACACACACAGGAGTTTCCACAAGGAAGGGTTTTCTCCTTCTTTCACCACAAGAAGGGATACAGAAAAGGCAAAGAACTTTAAATACACAAAGGGAATAAGGCAAGTGGACGCTTTTCATCCCATCTGTTGCAAATACAGTAATTTCTATTTTCAGGGGGTATCCATTTCACGAGGCAGCAGCGTGGCTCCTTGCATGGCTCAGCTGCCAGCAGATAACAGACGTCTCCTGACTCCAATCCAAGGAGTCAGACTGACCCTCCATCATGAACTCTGGGCTTTGTTGCATTACATTAAATCCTAACAAAGTCAGATTTTAAGTGCTACAAAGGGAAAACATTTCCTAAGTGCGTCATCCTTCTTTCCTCCCTAGCAAAAGTTAACAGCAGCAAAGTCACCATTACAATAACAAACATGAATAGGCACCACCGCGTTACCTCCTTCAGAAGCTTGACATCTCAAGCCAACTCGAACAGAGCATTTCACATTTTGTTTTTTGATCAATTAAAAGGTACCTGATGAGCACTGCCCAACATCCAAGTGGCCAAAACTTTTTCCAGAGGAGACAAATTTTTACTGTGAGGAAAAAAACCCACAATACAGCAAAGTCAACATTTGCTTAACTTTAAATAAGTTTTCAAGACAATCATAATATCCACCTTCACAAAACTCAATCGAGCATGTTTGCGAGTGTGCTGGTAGCCATCAATTAATTTTCATTACTTGTTCATACATTTTCACCCATGCAATGCAATTCACCTGTCACTGTCATAATTAAAAAATTAATGTTTACTGAATAACTACAAAGTGGCCTCTAAGCAGCTATAGCACTTGCAATTCTAACTCTAAGGGAAACATTAATATCCAAAATGTAGAAATAGCAAGCCTATTGCAATTTATGGAGCTCAATTAGCTGTTCCATGCATTGCTCATTCAGAGTTATGAATTTTTAATGACAACGATAAACTGAGATTTTCAAAGGAGTTCAGCAGACTTATTTATGGGATTCAGGCGCATGGCTGTTGCCAGCTTCTCCCAAATCCCCATCCATAACCATGAGAAATATGTAGTGCATACTGACATTTCTCATGTCTGAGAGGACACTGCATTTAGGGACCTCAAAGCTGACACAGCATGCACGTACAGAATTTTGTTCCACAACAATCTCCTCTCTTGTCTCCTTCCATGCTGTTCATCCTTTAATTACGTCAACACTTGTGAAATTGTGATGTTAAGCCCTCCTGAGCATCAGTGGTTTTTCAGGTACTCTGCACAAGCTTCAATAAAAATCCCTCAAGTTTGAGCACACTGATCAATATCAGAACACAGCTTGTAGAAAACATTTTTCTAGGGCCTGATCCAGAAGCAGTGTATCCTAACTAGAACTGCCTTGGCAGCTGCAGAGAATTTATTGTCCAAAACACTACAGTTGCAGGTTATATTCAAACTGGTTATCAAAAAAAGAAGAATTTCTGGTAGTCTTTCAGTTTGCTTTAAGATGTTTTAAAAGCAAAGGAAGGGCTTGGATGTGATTTTGTCAAGAGCTGTACCTGAGGAGCCTTGCACTGCTGCATGCTGCAGAATGAAAATGTGATTCAGTTATTTAAGACAGCTGGTAGGAACTTTAACTCATATACTTGTCCTCACAGACTTCCAGCCTTCTTTGGTAATATGCTTACAAAACATTAATAACATCCTGAGCAGCAGATCAGTGGATTGAACACAGCATTCAATTGCCTCAACTCTGAAGCAGCAGTCAGTTAGATGCATCTTTTGTTAAGGTGGTGGAAATTTGTAAATGAAGATTTTGCTACATAATTTATAGAACCCATCTCGGGAGTTGTTGAACCAAAGCTTTGTTTTCTGAATGGCTGGTCTTTACATTTCGTTATTCCAAGAGTGGGAATTTTCATACATTAAAATAGGAGAATTAGCTGTGCAGTTATTTTTTTAATGGAGTTTGATGTACAAATCACACCGTTGCATATATGAGGTAAGTTAGGCTGTGTCTAAGCTAATACACATTACAGTAGGGTCTAGGGAGGGCTTGGAAGCAAAGCAAATGCCAGTCTAGAAACCTTTAAACTGCAGATCAATGCCCAAATCTGGCATTTGGAAAGGAAGGTGATGGACAAAAACACAGGGAGCCTTTGAAATGCGTATCTTGACTCATTTTCTAAAGTATTGCTGGGAAAACAATGTGGGTCTTGAACAACAAAATAATAATAAACAAAATAATAAAAGAATGTGGGAATGTGAACATTAAATAGAAAAATAGGTAAATAACAGGACCAAAAACCCCAATCCTTTTGCTTTCAAATTTTGAAATATAGTTTCTAAAGATGTACCCAAGTATTCTTTCTGTTGATTGAGTTCGACTTAAGCTCAGGTGTCAGCTTGCCCCACATGTCTATGCCTACTTTTCCATTAAAATTATCGTCTGAAGAGAGAAATTGAGCAGGCTTACATAAGTATCTGAGTGTCTTCCCAATATTTTCAGTCTAAAACATAATTCTTTTGTTTGTGTGTCTGCTTAGAAGTGTTTGCTTAAACTTTTAGGTGCCCAGCCTGGCTGAGTGCACACAATAAGGCCTAAACTGTTTATGTTGAGCACAAGGATGACCTAGACAAAGTCTGCACTCTCTAACAATCTTCACAGCCAACATCTCTCTGTCCTGACGAAAGCTATGGATGAGTACATGTTTAGCAAGTCAATAAGAATTTTGACATTACACTGTAATACCTGATTGGTCTTCAACATATTCGCAGAGTAGTTTCCAGGAGAGTTTATTGGATCATCTCCCAAGGGAAAACTTAGTCGTAAATTAGATTGGAAAGACTAAAATGAGGGCATTATTCTGTCACAAAATGCTTTTGCATTTGGGCTGTTTAGTAGTAGCTACATTTTGCAGGCACTCAAAGCATATCAGCTTATAGCTTGCCCAGTTACAGAATTTCCAGCGGGAGAGACTGATGCCTTTTACTTTCTCTGCTTTTGGGAGCTTCAATCAAGTAAATCATAGTTTCTTTCCAGGCAACATAAAATTGCACAAACTGCTACTTCATAAACTAAATAATATCAACACTCTGGAAGGATTTTAGAAAAGCAATAACCATGTGAAAAGACATCCCCTTTTACCAATTTCACTCAGACAGCCATAGCCCGTGAGAAGCTGTGAGCGCATCTTGGGATGCTTTCCCTAGGAAAGTCCAAGCAAGGGCTGTCTTATCAAACTGATGCCCGAAACTGCTTTGGAGAGGCAGTGTGGGCAAGCAGCAGCACAAGGTCTGCAATGGGATGTCTGCATCCAATATCAGCTTCGACATTTCTTTTTTATACTTAGACAGCGGAGTCCTTGGAGCAGAGGTGCTCTCCTAACAACGCATGGAGCCGTGACCCGAGTTGTTACCTTCACTGCACAATGCTTCACGGTCATATTTACACAAAGTGCTGGTTGCACTGCCCCAGGCATCTTGAGATGTCAGTGGACTGAATCAAAGCAGTGTATTTATTTTGGCAAAACAAGATATCACGTACCAAAGAAGAAAAGAGCATTCCATCCCTCGCTGTTCCTATTTGTGATAAAGTCCCATCACATTTTTGCTTGTGTCTAAGCTGAACTAAGTCTTGGGAGGCTTGTTACTTGGTCCTCTGGTTCATGAGACTGGTTAGAGCACATCAGGGAACTCATCCATCCATGTCCAAGTCTTCCCAAGGAGAGAAAGTGGAAGAAAGACAAGAGGAGGAGAAGGAAGTGGAGGAGGAAGACTGATGCTCAGCCTCTCACAGCTCAGAAGCACTTCCAGCTTCTCCAGCTTGCATGCAGTGTGAGACAGCAAGTGGATCAAGAGGAATAAAATACACAGGAAACAAAAAGGAGAGGTAAAGAAGGATGTCTTTCCCATAGTGGTTATGAAAGATCAAAAATCTGATCAGAAGTCAAATGGAAGAGTACACATGACAAATGCAGTGCAGGCTGTAATGGTGCCCAGAATTACAAACCATGGTAAGCAAACTGCCTGCGAAGGTCCTAGGAATGTTTTGTAGTCATTCAACAGAAGAATGAAGTTTTATTTGTTCATTTGATGTATGATGAGTAACAGGCTTCGTACATCAGACATTGTGATTTCTTTTTTCCTAGTACACAGCCAGGCTAGTTGGTAGGAATTATGGGAAAATCTATAGTCAGATCAATTAAATGCGTTAATTAAAATTTCTTCACCCTCTCCTATGGAAGCAATGGGAGCCCTCAGTTGGCATAATTCCCATTCCTCAGAGCAATGCAGAATGAATTAAACCTCCCAGAGATCTGGTACAGAGGTGGAGCTGAACAACACAGGACTTTTCTATTTTTCTATTCAAAGTGCAGGTGGAGGTGCCAGGCCACTCCTGAAAGCAAAAGGCTGTTTCTATTTCTGGATGCAGGAACTGACTACACATACTGAAAATATGTTAACCTTGCCAAATTTCAACTCAACATTCTCAGTCTTCATGCTCACAAGAAGCAAATCTCTGGCTATCTAACCCTGAAAGAGCAGTTTATTTATTTTTGGAGAGCTTTGCTTTTCTTTCCCGAGAAAATACTTTCCTAAAAACAGACTTCCAGTTTGTTTCATATGCGCAACAACCACTCTTTAATGAGCATTTTCAAAGCACTTCTTGGGAGGAACTAACTTTATTGGCACTCTAGGACATTTTTGCACATAGAAATTGCTGTTGTTAACTCTCTGGTTTCACTGAAGAGGAGAATTTCCATCCAAATATTGGATTTTAGGAACTCTTATTTCTAGCTGAGCATATATAAATACAACATCTGAGCTCAACATCACACCTACCTACTGAAACTATTTCAGCCTTTGTAACTCTAATCTCTTCAAGAATAGAAACCTTGGAGAGATTCATTAATTGTTGGCTTTTGATTAGGTTTATTTCCACTAAAATAAAAAATTAAAAGTCTTTTTGTTATTTTTAAAGTTGTGGTTTTGATTTATTTATCTAGAAGCTGGAGAATAACTCTGTTATTCAGGGTTTAATAGATTGTTAAAGTCTCCATCAAGGAGAGATTCATAATTTATAAGATGTGAGCAATTAGTAAATGCATCTGATTTTCAAATTCAGAGGTATGCTTTAGGAAAGACATGTGAACTCCAGATTTTAAGATTATGCAGAATGCCAGCAATTAGGAAAACAACCTTTCATCTGCAGTGACTAACTAACCCTAAAGTAAGATTTTCCTCTGAATTAATTCCACTACTTTTCTTCAACGGGGCATGTTAAAAACTCCTCCCACTCATTGCATTTTCTGTGTGGTTTCTGAACTGAGGGGGACGCACAATCTTACAGGAGATGAGAGCTTTTTTAGTCATGTCCAGAATGAACAGACACCTTAAATAGACCATTGTTCCTACATGCAAATATGGCACCAATGAAAAAATGGTGGTTTCCTCAAGGTGCACAAACATCTTTGAATTATAGGCGGGTTTATGGAGGGAGGTGTTGGAAAAGTTGTACAGAGAATTATTTCTCTCTTTTCCAGGAACAAAACCATAAAATATGGTTTGCTCTTGACATAAAATTCTAAAAAGGTTAAGAATTAAGGTTTTATCAGAAATGGTAATTTTGTGACAAGAAATGATAGTGTACAGGGCAAGAGATCAGAGAGAAAAGACAAAAAGGTTGCGATCAGGAGCGGGGAAGGACAGAATGCATCCCTCCTAACACAAGGCAGATCCAGGCACCCATCATTCTGGCATTATCTAATTTCTGACTGCCTGAGTTTGCAACCTTACTGCTTTATTTTTATATCATTTTGTTCTTTTTTTAGAGGGAGTATGGCAGAAAAAATATCTGTACAAGATATAATTTCTTCCAGTACCCATCACCAGCAAATGATTGGACAAGCCATCTTTTGCCAATGGCTTAATTAGAGGAAACTTCTATATTTAATAATGTTCCTTAATGTACTGAGCCCCACACAATAGCTTATTGAAGGAAAAAAAGCAGAGTGATTATTTTCATAGCTAAGAATGGAAGAAAGGTTCAGTCATTAAAGTCATCACAGAAACAATGTTATTAACTACACAGGAATAATCTCAAAGGAGTTCTGAGCTGATTGACAGTGATAAAATAATGCAGGAAGCTAAAAAAAGGGCCTCTCTCCTCACCTGTTTTTATTAATACCCTTATTACCTTTCCCTGAAAGACAGCTTTTCAAGAGCTATTATTGTGCTTAATATTAAATAAAATTAAGCATGGCAGATTGTCAGTTATGTCTTCTGAACTCCTAAACAGAGAGAAGGTGGTCACCAGTGCACCCCTCAGCTAGGACGTGCCCTCCCTCTGGAGCAGACCACTGGCCAGACCCCCAGTATTCAGAGATATAAGGAAAGAAAAGGCTGCTCAAGAGAGGGAGAAAAGGGAGCGCTCAAGGATGCAACTACTTCAGAAGGCCAGCAATGGTATTTCATAGATATTAATTACTTTACAGTCTGTAAACCCTACAAAAAGTGCCAGCTGCTGTGAGCCAGGACCCTCAAAGGTCAGATTATCATGAAATCGTTACAGGAGAGGCTGCTTTTACTTAGCATATAATTGCTAAACCTAAGCACACTCCATAGAACCAATAGGAAAATGAATTATTTAAGTACTCTTCTTTTAATAAATAGTATTACCATTTTAATTGCATCAGTATTAATTTAACTCTAAAAAGTGCCCGAGGATTTTGCAGAATTAAGTTTTGCTACTCTCGAGTTTTCAGAAATTTCAGAACTTCTGAACTACATATATGTGTGAGTACAGCTACATCTAGCTTTTTCACGCATTTACAAATACACATATATGCTTTTAAAAGGTGTATGTGCATGTGTGTTTGCATTCCTCCAGAATTTCTTGTCTTTAGGTGTGCATATAGCTATATGTAGCTTTTTACATATTTACAAATACACACATATGCTTCAAGAAAGCGTGCATGCATGTTTGTATTTCTGCAGAACTTCTCGTCTTTGGATATTCTGGATGTTTAAAAATGCAGCCCTTGGGTAATTTCCTCTTGGCATGCTGCAGCGAGATAAGGCAAAAATTCTAGCTCAAATGACAGGTTTTTCTCAGCTGAGCAAAACCAGTTCTCATTCTCCCAGCACCCAGCCTGACTTGAAGGCTCGATTGGCAGGTTGAAGCTGCAGGTATTTCTGGCTCCAAAGGACTTTTCTTTTTAGCCAATTCTCTTCTACGTGTACCAACCAGTGCTTTTGAGAGCCAGTCAGGAAAACAGCAGACAGCAGGTCAAGGGGCATTTTCCTCCCGGAGATGGAGCACACAGCCTGCATACTCAGTGTCAGCTCCCCCGTACCCACATGTTTCCTGGAGTTCTACACATTTCCAAATATTGCAGCCAGACAGCTATTCCTTCCATATTGCTCCACTGCCTGCTCACCCAATAATTCTTCTCCTCCCTCTTTTCTCACCTGGCACTAAGCAGAAGAGACACTTGGACTTGGAACACCTCATTATTCCCAGCTGCTCTGAATTTCAGTTACTTTCTTGCACTGTCCCACAGGGCTCTGTTTGCCCTTCTTTCTGATCCAGTCTTCCCGATCTGAGAATTCCCTATCAGATGCACTAAACACACCTTTCAGGCCTCAGAAACATCTTACTGAATGAATAAATCAATTCACTTTCATTAATACAACAATTTCACTTACTGAAGAAACTTGTTTTGTCAACAATAAATTGGACAGTAAAAGTCCTGATCCTTTGACGTCAATAAGCATCATTTCACAGGCTTTGAATCATGTCCTTAATTGGGCAGGGCATGCCCCCCCCAAAAATCATTTGGTCATACAACAACCCTGCATAGGGGTTTACAGGATGTCTCAAAAACAGCCTTTTCTGTCCCTGAAGCCCATGAGATGCAACAGACCTGTTAAGTGCAGAGCACACCAAACATACTTCAGCATTTGGAATGGCACCTGGGGTTGTCTGCTCACTTGGAATATTGTGTGTGTGTGTGTGAGCTGGCACACACAGCACACACATTGTGCTCTGCAAGTCCCACAGGCCAGCAGCAGAAGTGGTTCATGTTTAGATCTGTGAGTCACAGACGCAGGAAGATATTTACAGTATTTTTCCTAATGGGTTTCCATGGATGACTAACCTTTCAGCTGAATTCTTTAAGCATCCTACTTTCCCCATGTCTGTTACAGTACTTTTCTATCCCTACTTGACCCTGCCAGCCCATGAATATTTGATACTAAATTAAAGCATTACAAACCAAGAGATAAATTCTATCCGGGGTGCAGCCCTTGCAGAGCTTAATTACATTTGGTGGTGTGAATGTTAAAAGACCTGACACTGCAACAGCTTTGGGCTTTGGCTTCTGTTGAACCAGAGCTTGAGAAAGAAGGGAACTGTCACCTGCCCAAGTCTTTCGAAAAGCCAAGGGGGTTTATTTTATTTGGCATTTAAGTGTGTGCTGGCACTGTCCTTTAGTTCAAATTGCTCTCAGGTACCAACAATAATTAATAGACCATTTGAGCTTTTGTTTTGTACATTAAACAAGCCAAGCTCAGCTCTTTTCTCTCCTCTTTAGAGACTCTATTCCCCTTCCACCAGCTCAGTAGTTCATCTCTCTGCTTCGCTAGTCCCCAAGAGAGGATTTAGCAAATTTTCCTTTGCCTTCATAAAATTGCTAGCTTTCTTCCCCTCTCCTGTGCATTTAAGCTGTAAGCTTTCCAGAAAAAGGAAGGGTCTGTGTCATACAATGCCCTTACACTGTGCAATGGAATTCTTAACTAAAATGAAGTTGAAAAGTCAAGAGTAAAACACAAATTATCAGCAGTTACAGAGAGACAGACATGATCTTTGCAAGCCAACGCTAAGAGTTAAGTCAAAAGAGCTGAAAAGTTGCTGTTCTATGTAAGCATTTCTTTCAAATCACTCGTTCAAACAGCCGATGGTAATGTCTGCACAACCTGCACTACACACCACAGCAATTCTGCCATTTCCAGTGAAGATTCATTGGCCTACCCATTTTTTTTTTCTTTCCAGCAATTCACTTTTGGCTCACTTTTTAGCCCAAAGACTAAAATTAATCTGTGTCACTAGCACATAAATATCAGAAGGCACTCCCCTGTCTCTAGAGATCATCACAGCCGTGGCACTCTAATGCTTTCCTTTACCAGAATATTGACCAGAACAGAACCGATGACTACATGGCACTCCAATAACACAAATGACTGCAAGTCACAGCAAACTTCAGGGAACAAAAAACTGATCCTCTGGCTTTTAACGCAGAATTGGGTCTAAGGGACAACATTTGCCAGAGAAACTTCACTGTCATGGCCTTTACCATCCTCACTGCATCAGAGTGATGATACAGGTGTGAGATGAAGATCTGGGAGCTTATTTCTCATGTCACTTCACATGTTGGTGTTTCTAGTAACAAGCCAGACTGCATTTTCCTTTTCTATCGGTCAAAGTTAACTCACAGGACACTTACAAATTAATGTGTCCTTTGCTTTGGCTGTTCTTGACGAGATCTGTAACTAAAGCTGAATCCACTAAACCGGAATTTCATTCCCCCCACTCCCCAACAGGCCAAAAAGTGGGGGGGAGACACCTGAGGCCAAATTCACCTAATTGTTCCACAATAAATCCTTACGTTTAATCACAGGCTGCTTCACAGAACTCCCAATAGTTTTATTTCATTATCTTCATGGTATGTCCTTTCACGGAACTGAAAGTATTCCTCCACTCTTATCTTTGCCAGCAAGCCATCCTTTTCAGCCTGCAGGACACCTGAGGAATGGGACCAGATAAAGGGATTGCACATGTGTGCCCACAGAGGGCAGGGCTACAGAACAGGTGGATGGACAAAAAGGTCTGCCTACTTGCACAGCTCCTCACAACAGGTATTTTCCTTCTAGGAAAGTTATGCTGGGATTAATTTCAACTGTACCAACAACACTAAATGTCT